AAAAAAAAAAAAAAAAACCCTATGGAACACATGGGGTCGCCATGAGTCAGGCCTGCTCCATAGCAACTGGCTGAAAGACTTCGGAGAAGCGTAGTGAGACGTCTGTTAGGTCATCCTGCATTATTTGAGATACTTGCTGAGTTTGATGCCTTGTTAGAAGTTAATTTAAGCTGAAAGCAAGGAAAATTTTTCATTATGTTTAAAGTCCCCACTTGGCATATAACTTAAATGTTTGTGAACGAAATTCTAAATGATCTCTAATATAAACACACTTGAGTCTTAAGTGAAAGGAGAAAAAAAAAAGGATAAATTAAAACAGACTCTAAGGCAAATGGCAAGATTGAGGTTAAATTAACTCTGCCTTGTTCAGGAGCTTAGAACTGAGGAACAGATAGACGATCCCATCCATGTGGCAGATCAAAGTTTGATACTGTTGTGATTGTTATTGTTAAGTGACAATGAATCAGTTCTGATTCGTTGTGACCCTGCATAGGATTTCCGAGGCTGTACATCTTTGAAAGAGCAGAAAACCTCATCTTTCTCCTGTGAATCTGATACTATGAAATAACACCTAAGCCATTTTGGGAACATTAAAATTTGGTGAACTCTTTGTTTTGTAATCTAACCAGATATGAAAGGCAAAAGCTGCAACATATCTTTTAGGTTTTTCTGAGTCTGAGAAGATAGAGGTAGATGAAGACATGAAGAAGACTTTGATTGGCATTAAGCAGATGAAAATCATGATAGAAAGAATAGAGGAAGAACATACTAATCTAATGAAAACCCTGAAGAAATGCAGAGCAGAAAAGCAGGTACAGTTGCTGTAAATTATATCTGTTCCTAAATCTATCTGGGCCAAATCTATTGCCCTTGTCAGTACAATTGATGAATTGCCTATTTTCCCTGATAATAATTGTTCTGGACAGTAGCCTTTATTGAAGGAAAAGGTTGAAGGAAATTTCAAATTTCATCAAAGAACGCATTCCTTGTAGAATCAGCTTTTATAAAGTCTGGAGTGGACCTCAAATACATGAATTTGGGGGATTTGCCTCTGGGAAATGCTGTTTTCTCAAAATGCTTCATTACACACTTAGTCTGCTCTGAGTTAAGATATTGAGTGAGACCAAAGTGCTGGGGAAACTTTGGTTACATCAGTGATCTCCAAAGTTTTTTGATCTCACATATCTATCACTAAAAAAAATGTTTAGCACTAACTCCTAAGTATATGCATATTAATTTATTTATAAATTTTATATGTATCAAAAAATTGATATATCATCATCTGTCCCATCTTGGGTGGATGCAAGTCCATATTTCATAAAACCTTCTAGATCATTTGAAATTTTCAGCCAACTTGCCTGATACAATTAGATCAGCATGTTTTTACTTTGTCATGTGGCCAGTGCAGAGTTCATCATGAAGATGTGTCCACTCTGCCATTTTGGTTGTGTCCATTTGAACTTAAATGCTAGTATTTTAAAAATCTGACAAGGCTTTTTTTCTCCCAAGAACCTTTTAAGCCTCCTGTCTATATTGTGAAGGTTGTTGTTGTTGTTGTTAAGTGCCGTCGAGTCGGTTCCGACCCATAGCGACCCTGTACAGGGTTTCCGAGGGTGTAAATCCTTACGGGAGTAGAAAGCCTCATCTTTCTCCCGCGGAGCGGCTGGTAGTTTCGAACCGCTGACCTTAAGGTTCGCAGCCCGATTCGTAACCACTACGCTACCAGAGCTCCTTGTGAAGGTTAGCTTAGTAAAAAAAAATAAAGACTTTGGCAGTTCGGTGGTAAACATCTTACTTTCTATGCAAAAGATCCAGGTTTGAGTGCTGGTCAAGCACTTCATGTATAACAACCACCCACCCTTCTGTGTGTGTGTGTTGTTATGATGATGAACAACTTTCAGCAGAGTCCAGACTAAAATGGAGTAGGAAGAAAGTCCTGGAAATCTACTTCTAAAAATTAGCCATTGAAAACTCTATAGAGTACAGTTCTACTCTGACACAGGTGGGGTTGCCATGAGTCAGGGGCCACTTAACAACAGCTACCAAAAACATCAGCTTCATGAAAACTAGATGATAAACTTGAATCCAATTGGCTGCAAATAAGCAAAGATTGCCAATGCTTCTGAAATGTAGAAGCCCCATTCTTCCCTGGGGTTCATACATAATTATCTGACATAAACACCTCAAGAGAGCCCCAATGTATTAAATAATATAATAACTGAATCTATTTTTTAATTAAAAAAAAGAACAAAGAGAAACTCTAATATTTCCTTCCTCTGCTCCAGTGAGTGTGTACCCCAGCTGGGGACCAGTGAGCTCTAGAAAGCTCCTTGAATTCTCCACCCATCATGGTCTTTGGAAGTTTATTAAACACTCTCATTAGGGCTGACTGACAGGCTGACCCCTGAGCTGCATGCTGGCCTGTCACCACACCTACCGCAGGATGCCTGGCAAAGAAAGGAGATTGTCTGACCAGCAGCTGCAAACCCTCCTCTTTGGGGCAGCAATCAAAAAACATTTTGAGAAAATAAAAAATCCTCATCAGGAAAATGTAGAAGCCCCCACCGAGCTAAGTTCTCATTTCTGGTAAATTCTGAGTTCCACCATCTGGGAATAATGACACCAGACATCCCTGATAGCTCTAACAAGATGCATTATCACTTTGAATCCTTCCAACATCTGAGTAAACCATTGCTTTTATTTTGCAGCTAAGGAAACTTAGGTTTGAGGTGGTCCTTAATGTGTTCCCCAACACTGCCATAGTAAGGGGGAGCGAGTCCACAGATGTTGCACAGGTAGTCGCTGTTTCTCACTTGCCTTCTGGGAAGCTAAAAAGGAAAAGAATGCAGGGAGTAGGTACCACAGAAATTAGTATCGGTTTCAGTTATGACCCTAAAGCATCCCAGAAACTGGGACATTTTTCATTTTTGCTTTAAAAAGCACTTATTGGGTAAAAATATGTTGAATTATGTACTTAGGGTTTGATTTGAGTGCTCAAAAAGTTCATTGAAAGAAAGAAACCTACTTAACCCTGAATTGTCCTCCCTAAAGTGACTTTAAACCTATAATAAAGGTCAGATTAGGCAAATTACAAATTAACTAATGTGGCTAATGCGCTCCCAGCCTCCCAGCAGGGCATCTTCAGGTCCCTGTCCTTACCTCCTCCCTCCCCATTAACACTGAGTGAGAGAGCCTTGGAAACTTGCTCTTAACGAAGTGAGGAACCCTGGAGCCCCTCAAAGTGATTTGCTCCATATGGTATTTGATAAGCTTTACACTCCAGGAATAGAGTTCTGAGTATGAAATCAGTGCTGGGATGTTTAGGACCCAAATTTAGGACCTATGTACATTTACATCCTTTCGGGGGAAGACAAGAAAGATAGTAATAATAACATGTTAGGAGTCTTGGAGTGGTGCTTTGGGATAAACACTGGACTGTTAACCTTGCGGTTGGTTGTTCACACCTACCAGTCACTCCTTGAAAACCCTCTAAGGGTGGCTGTGTGTTAGAACTGACTCTACGGCACTTAACAACAGGTGCCTTGCTTGCTTACCTCACAGAAATTTGAGGTAGGTCCCTATTGCTATTCCTGTTTTCTAGGGATATGCCTGAGGCTTACAGATGTTTGCCCAGTGGTACATCATGAGTATAGTTTGGAGTTGGAAATACTGGGATTCTGGTCATGGTAACAATGAACAGAATCTTTACAGTTGGGACTGATTAACAAAATATGGATGGTCTTGTGGAGTCCTGGTATGGGTTAATGGGCTGGGCTGGAAGGTCAGTTTGAACTGTTAGGTCAGTGGTTCAAGCTCACCAGCCACTCGTCCTCGGAAACCCTATATAGATAGGGTAACTGTGAGTCTGAAAGGAGCTCTGGTAGTGTAGTGGTTACGAATTGGGCTGCGAACCACAAGGTCAGCAGTTCAAAACTACCAGCTGTTCCATGGGAGAAAGATGAGGCTTTCTGCTCCTGTAAAGATAGATATACAGCCTCAGAAATCCTGTACAGGGTCGCTATCCCAACCAACCAAATGAGTCAGAACCAACTCAACAGCATTTAACAACAATTGTTGAGGCAACCTTCCTGGAAAACGTCTAGGATTCCAAAATTATTCTGCAAAGCCCAAGGAGACAATAAAATCTTGTCTGGGTCAAAGGGTGCATGTAGCAGACTGGGTCCCTGCCAATTTTCTTATTCGGGTCATAGTGAACAGAAGTTGGATTAGTACCCGGACGCTGTACAATGAAGTCAGCTGAGAAGTCTGAGCAGGGTGCAAGAGATGCAGAAGATTGGCAGTGCTGGTAGATCCTTTGGGCTTAATATGCCAGAAATGGGTGATTTCTTTTTCTTTTTTGTTAGGTAAAAGTGCACAGTAATTTGATTTTTAAGTACAAATGTGATTTTATTTTAAGGGACTCACATTTAACCCTGAGGCTGTCTTCTTATGGTTGGGTCCTTATGCCTCTAATTCCCGGAGACTAGAGATTCTTGTAGTGCAAACGGTTAGCACATGTGGCGGCTAACAGCAACGTAGGAGATTTGAGTCCATCCAGAGGCTCTTCAAAAAAAAAAGGCTTGAGGATCTACTTTCAAAAATATCAGCCATTGAAAGCCCTGTGGAGCACAGACAGTTCCGCTCTGAGACACAAGGGGTCGCCATTCGTTGGAATTACATGGACAGCAACTGTTTTCTCTTTAGCTAGCTTCAGGCAGGGAGAGATCCAGTCTTTGGGCTAGCAGGGAAGCGGGGAGTCTAAGTTATCTGTCAAGTCAGTTCCAACTCAGAGCCACCCTGTATAGCGTTTCCGAAGAGCGGCTGGTGAGTTTGAACTGCCGACCTTGCAGTTCAAACTGCCTTTGTGGTCCAGTGCTTATCCTGCCACACCAGGACTCAGTCGGAAGTCTAAGTAGGCTCCGTTGGGGGTCTAGGTGGAGACCGCGAGCAGAGGGCATTGCAGGCCTCTCAGGGCTTCTGATCTGCACAGCAATAGTTGGCAAATCAAACAAGGCACCACAAGAGGGCGTTCTCAGAATAACAACAAGAATAGGTGCTAAAAAAAATACATTCTTTGCAAATAGAATGTAATTCGGTGAAATAGTTGATCTGATGTACAAGGATTGCACTTTCTTAAAATGTTTAAGAACATACAAATATTAAAGACAGCACAAATAACAGAAATAGAATGTGCCAGTTTTTTAAGCCTTAAAGTCCCTCTCCCACCTCCTCCCGCTCCTTCTAGAGTAGATGTGAAGGCAGACAAACAGATAAATGGCAGGCGGTCTCCCAGAGTAGGAAACCGTATCTTCATTGAGGATTCATTCAAATTGAGCATAATGTCTGTCACGTAGCAAGCACACAGTGAAGCTTGTTGAATTAATTAGTGAACACATGAATAAGATTTATACAGTCTTTAGTAAGAATGAATCAGTGGTGTTAGTCAAACAGAAAGCTATTGAGTAGATCTGTCAGCTACTGAAGGCAAAGGCAGAAGAAATCATTTAGAATATGCACATTTTTTAAAAAGGGACATCAACCTTAGTTGATGCACATAGAATCATGAAATGAAGAGACTGTTTCTTTGTTTTAATTAGGAGACCTTGACACTTATGAATGAAGTTCAAGAGCATCTGAAAGAGGAAGAGAGGCTATGCCAAGTATCTCTAGCAGATTCATGGAACTAATGCAAGTCTTGCCTGGAAAGTAACTGCATGAGATATTATACAGCCTGCCAACCTGACTGGTCATCCATTAAAAATACGGTAAGAGATAAAGAGAGCGCCAGGTTTCAGAGTTCATAAGGCAACTCCCTCAGTTTATTTATTAAAGTATATTAAAATTTAGAATAAAGATGCCTGATTTGATATTGACCTTTTGCAATATAGAACCTAATGCTCATATCATCACCTGTGCAAACACAATGTATAAGTTAGAACATCATTCCTTTTCATGACACTACATGTATCTTTCTGAGGCATGCTTTATGTTTGTTATTTTGTGAACACATTCCCAGGAGATTGTAAGCTATTTGATAGCAGGAACCATATTTTGTCTTTGAGCATTGAAGGTAGTCAATAAATGTTGGTTGGATTGTATTCTCAATAATAATATTACCATCTCTGATTTCAACCTGCTTTAATTTTTTTCTCCTGGAGGCCAAACATCTTCCTCCTTCATCTCTCCTTCAATGTACTTGACCTTTTATGTGTGGTACATGCATGCACGTACACATACATAGACACATTGCCTTTAACCTGCGTGCAAGTATGTAATATAGGGCTGGTATGGTTTCTTTTTTGTCCCTCTCTAGCTAGCTAGCTTCTGAACATAAGGAATCACCAAGGGTGGTGCCCTACACAGTCTGAGCTATGCTCTAGAAAAGGTTCCAATTCTATTAGCCTGGATTTCCCTTCCCCTTTAGAAAATGAGTTGAATATGAAACTGAGTGAAATTTCACTCTCTGTTTTAGAGCATGCACTAATTAGAGTATGAATCTGTCTTGGCAACCCATAGGGTAATGAATGTGCCAAGTTAATTTGCCTCCACTGATAATTGCAGCTGCTCTGTTTTTGTAGCTCTTGTCACTCTCCAGTGTGGTGGGACAGTATTGACTGAAGGTCAGGAGGTATGAGGGCCACTCCCAGCTGTGCCAGTTATGTGACTATATGAACATTTCTTAGTATTTTAAAGTTTTGTTTTTGTGTTTGAGATTAGGTAAACAGAAGCTGGCAGAGGGACAGGCAGACAATTTGCCTAGATAATTCTTTGATAAAGACACAGTCCTCTAAGAATTCCTAAAGAATTCTTGGAACTGCACTGGGATGCTTACAGCACTGATGCGCAATAGTCAAGATGTCCAAGAACATGCACTGTGGCCGCAGCACTAATGTCTAAGGGCAACCATGTTCTGGCCTGGATTCAGGTATACCTAGATGAGACAGAGTATTGAGTGACAGCCAGTAAGCCTTCTACCCCTAAACTGGTACCTGGAATCCTACAATTATAACTTCATTCTTTTGACTATAGCCAAAATGAACTGTTGTTGTTAAGTGCCGTCAAGTCGGTTCCAACCCATAGCAACCCTGTATAGGGTTTCCGAGGAGTGGCTGATGAGCTTGAACCACCGACCTTGCAGTTCAAATAGCTTTGTAGTCGGGCACATTAGCCCACAGTGCCACACCAGGACTCCAAAATAGACTGTAGTCACTGCCAATATGTACCATCTCTAAAATGGATAACCCATTAAGCTGTATCAGATATCTGTAGATCACTGTGAGTGTATTGAGCTTTTCCTTTCCTGAGACTAATTTACAAAGAGAGAAAGAAGACTATGAAGACATTAGTAACATTTTACTGAAGGAAAAAGAACTAAGACAAGTGAAAGACAAGAGCCTTCATCTTGGTTTTTGGGCAGTCTCTACAGTGCCCTGGAAGCTGTGGCATGCCAACTGCCACCAGCACATCAGGCTGTGGTTCATCAATAATACTGGAAATGTAGGTCATCAGTGGGCAAAGAAAATCAGTAGGAACCGTAGATTGTATTCCCATAACCAAACTCAAAGCCAGGTGTAAGAATATTAATTATCTTATTGTTAATCATCTAAAGTCAATCCCCTTTCTCTCACTTGTCCAGAATTGTTCTTGATATAAAATGATTACTATAAGTTGACTTTAAAATTTACAATTAAAAAATGACCCAGAGATCAAATTAACCACTTCTTCCATTTCTGCCCCTCACTCTATCTACCTCATGATATATCAGTTTCTGTTTCCTTTCCATGAAGATAATCAAAGCGATCTCCCCATCTGTGAAAAGCTCACTGAGAAAGATGCACAAGTGGCCCAAATAGAGGATGTGTTCAGCCAATTGTCTGTGGACGTGGGATCTGTATTTAACAGAAGCTGTAACATCTTCAGACGGATGCAGCAAGAATTTGACCAGGCTTTTCAATCCTACTTCATGTCCGATACAGAGTTAATTGAACCTTATTTTCTAACTTTATCCAAAGAGCCAATGAAGAAAGGATATCTTTTGCAGAGTTGGGACATTCCTACCTTCTTTCTGCTATGTTGTAATTTCAATCTCTCTATTTATGAAACTGTCAGTGAAGCAATTGCTGGGACACGGAATGCTATAGAGGATTTACCAAAACAAGACAAAGGCAAGTATTAAAAGATGATTTTGACTTAGATGTCTACACTGAAGTCAAGTCTGGTTTCGTTTAGGGAATGATAGGCATTTCCAAGTTGTACCATGTTTCTTAAAGTGACAATATATAGTTTATCAAGGTTTCAGAAGCTCTTAAAGAAGCTTTGAAGTCAGAAAACCACCATGCCTCTTCCATCATTATTGGGAACATAATAACAACCATCTATAGTGTTGTTTCCTCTCTTAAGAGCACATTTTCAAAGCTGAAAAATAGCAATTGCCTCCTTTTTAAATAAACTGATGGGTAGGAGTGCAACTCTATTCTGCTTGGACATCATGGAATTTCTTTAAAACTGGTCCAGGAGCTAGATTCTTCTGCTACATAAAGAATCTAGTGTCATATACCCAGTTTCTAGGGAGTAGGTCAGGAGCCCTAGTGGTATAGTGGGTTAAGCCATGGGCTGCTAACTGCAAGGTCGGTGTTTCAAGTCCATCAGCTGCTCTGCAGGAGAAAGATGAGACTCTGATCCTGCAAAGATTGACAGTTTCGGGATCTAAGGGACAATTCTACTCTGTTCTCTAGGGTCATTATGAGTCAGAATCAACTCAATGTTTTGAAATTTGGTTTTGGTATGGAGTAGATTCTGACACACGGTGATCCCATTGTGTCAGAGTAGAACTGTACCCCATGAGGTTTTCAGTGACTGATTTTCCAGAAGGAGACCACCCAGCCTTGCTTCAGAGGCCTGAGTCATTTACACCCAGGGAGTCCAGTCTTACATATGAGTCTAAGTAGGAACTCCTCTGGATCACTGCTGTAATCCCTTAAGTAATGAAAGTGTATGCACAAAATGATAGAAGATGCTCATAGACAAACCCCAAATTATAGAAATAGGAAGGGGGTAAAAATTGCCTTCTACCAGTACCAAAAAATGGAGTCCTGGTGTGGTGCTGCAGGTTAATGCGCTAGACTGTAAGGTTGGTTTGAGGTAAGGGTTGGCAGTTCAAGCTCACCAGCCACTCCTCAGAAACCCTATGCAGGTCGCTATGAGTTGGAACCGACTTGAAAGCACTTAACAACAACAATAATACTAATCAAGTTCTACAATATTTCATGTTGGGAAAACAGTGTCACTTTATGTTTTAAGGCAGAAGGACTTAGGAAAGTACCTCCTGCACTCTTCTATGAAGTAGCTAGGACAGAGCCTTTCAGAAATGAGAGCTGTTGTGTGGGCTGCCTGTAGATCTGCATAGCCGCGGGCTGCTCTCCTATGGGCCAGTAGGGCAATTAAAAGGCTACTCCTCTTTGAACTGAAAAACAACATGGACTTCTTCTAGCTGGCTATTTCCCGATTACATCAGCTGTAGCTGGCAACATCTGAATTAAATTCTCACAATTGCCCCAAGATTGCCTAACTGGCCTCCATAAAGGAAAGCCTGACTTTAGAAGCATTAGAAACAAAAGCCAGGAAACAATGAATTGTATCCTTCCTGTCCCATTGTTACAGAAAACACTCATCATTCCTGGAATTGCTGTTGGCTTCTATTTCAGGGTCTTTCTTGTTAGTCAGGTGTTTTGTCTGGTATTCAATAAAGAGGTTCAAAATTCACCAATTATTTAAGAGACATGCCAGGGCAGTAAACATATATATCAATATTGGGGTTGTTGTGGTTAAGTGCCATCAAGTCGGTTCTGATTCATAGCCATCCTGTTTCTGAGGATGTAAATCTTTAGGGGAGCAGAGAACCTCATCTTTCTCCCATGGAGCAGCTGGTACTTTCAAACTGCTGACCTTAGAATCATTTTGCCTGACTTTTTAAATGGGTATTAATTGTCCTGGAATACTATTCAGAATGTGTTTTTGACAACAAACAAAATGTTGCCCCCCTTACCCTTCCTTTCACATGTTCCAACTCATAGCGAACCTGCATAGGGTTTCCAAGGAGCAGCTGATGAATTTGAACCATCAACCTTTCAGTTCAAACTGACTTTGCAGTCCAGCACATTAACTCACAGTGCCACGCCAGTACTTTTCACATTGTACAGCAATCCTATACATGGGGTGCATTCAAATATGCACAGGACTAGCAGTGACTCCTTGGAGTCCTGGTGTGGCACTGTGGCTAACGTGCCAGACTGTAAAGCCATTTGAACTGCAAAGTTGACAGTTCAAGCTCACCAGCTGCTCCCCAGAAACCCTATACAGGGTCGCTATGGGTTGGAACCAACTCAACGGCACTTCACAACAACAACAACAACAACAACATAGGTCAGAACCTACTCGACAGCACTTAACAATAACAACAAGTAGTTATGCAGAAACAGTGAAATCTAGATAATGTCTCAACAACTGGAACCTTCCCCACCATACTGACTAAGCACCGGGTTTCTACCAGTCTACCTTAGGGTTTCCTGCCTCGCATTCCCACACCTCAAGACTAGCCAACTGCCTCTAGAGGTGTGGGATGCCTCACTGCACCCCTCCTGGATATCCAGGGTTCCCTGTAAGTGAAAACCATTTAAAAACAACCATCAGCAAAGCCTATGTTGCACCACTTTATGTAGATGATTTGGAAGGCCATTTATCAAGAATAATACTTTTCCCTTTTTTGTCAGGTATCTGCATGTGCTCCCATCACTTTTCTGTACAGGTGGGCTGTGAAACTAACACTATTGTCCCTAGAAAATCTGCCTAATGAGTAGACATTTTAAGCTTTCCTCTTGTTGAGGCAGAATAATGGTTCTCAAGAGATATCTACACTCTAATCCTCCGAATCTGTGACTATATCAGGTTACATAACAAGAAGGAATTGCAGATGAAATTTAGGTAGCTAATTTTTGCTATTGTGGTTGTTGTTGTTAAGTGCTGTTGAGTCGGTTCTGACTCATAGAGAACCTATATGAACAGTTTCCAAGGAGCTGCTGGTGAGCTTGAACCGCCAACCTGGCAGTTCAAACCAATATTGCAGTCTAGCGCATTAACCTGCAGTGCCATACCAGGTTCCAACTCACAGCAACTCTATGTACAACAGAATGAAATACTGCCCAGTCTTGCACTGTTCTCACAATTGTTGTTATGTTTGAGCCTATTGTTGTAGCCACTATATCAATCCATCTCATTGAGGATTTCCTCTTTTTTACTGACCCTCTGCTTTACCAAGCATTAGATCCTTCTCTGGAGACTGATCCCTCCTGATTGCATGTCCAAAGTATGTGAGATGAAGTACCCCATTCTCACTTCTAAGGAATATTCTAGCTGAACTTCTTCCAAGGCAGATTTGTTTGTTTTTCTGACAGTCCATGGTATATTTCATATTCCTCACCAGCACCATAATGTAAATGCATCAGTTCTTCTTTAAGACCACAACAAACTGAAGCTAGAAATCAGTAACAGAAAAAAAAAATCCAAAAAACTGGAAAATATATGTTGTTGTTGTTAAGTGCTGTCGAGTTGGGTTTGACCTATAGCGAACCTGTATAGGGTTTCTAAGGAGCGGCTGGTGAGCTTGAACCACTGACCTTACCATTCAAGCTGACTTTGCAGTCCAGCTCATTAACCCACCAGTGCCATGGAATTAAACACAATGCTAAACTACCAAAGGGTCAAGGAAGAAAGTTAAAAGTCACAAATTTCTTAGAGTCAAGTGGAAATGAAATTTATGGAACGTATGAAGGCAGTACGCAGAAGAACACTTAAAGCAATAAATACCTCCATGAGAAAAGGAAAAGATCTCAAATCAACAGCCTAGCTCAACAATTCTAGGAACTGGAAAGAAAAGAGCAAACAAAGCCTAAATCAACCAGAAGAAAGGAAATATCAGGGATCAGATCATAAACAAATAAATTGAAAATATAATAAGGAGCTCTGGTAGTGGTTACGAATCGGGCTGCGAACCTTAAGGTCAGCGGTTCGAAACTACCAGCTGCTCCGCGGGAGAAAGCTCCGGCTTTCTACTCCGGTAAAGATTTACACCCTCAGAAACCCTATACAGGGTCGCTATGGGTCGGAACCGACTCGATGGCACATAACAACAACAACAACATAGTAACAATAGAGAAAATAAACAAAACCAGAAACTGATTCTTTGAAGAGATCAATAAAATTGACAAACCTTTAGCTGGAGTGACAAAAGAGCAGAAAAGATGCAATTGATCAAAATAAAAAATGAAACAGGGGATATTACAACTGACCCAACAGAAATAAAGAGACAGAATATGATGAACAACTATATAGCAATAGATGAAATAACTTAATTGAAATGGACAAATTCTTAAATGTACGTAACCTACCCAAACTTAAGACAAAAAATAGGAAGTCTCAATAGACCCATAACAAGTAAGGAGATCAAATCAGTGATTAAAATCTTCCAACAACAAAAAAAAAAGGTCCAGAATCAAATGGATTCATTAGGGAACTCTACCAAACACTTAGAGAAGAACTGGGACCAATACTGTTTAACCTCTTCCAAAAGATAGAGAAGGAAGGACTACTCCCCAATTAATCTAATGACTAAAACATAACCCTGACACCCAAACTAGACAACAACATCACAAGAAAAGAAAAGCTACAGGCCAATATCTCTTATGAATATGGATGCAAAATACTAGGAAACAGAATTCAGCAGCATATTAAAAGAGTTATTTATATACCATGACTAAGTGGGATTTATTCCAGGAATGTAGTTGGATTTCAACACTAGAGAATCAATCATCATAAAGCATCACATCAATAGAACAAAGTTAAAGGACCACATGATCATTTCTATGGATGTAGAAAAAGCATTTGATAAAATCTTTCCTGTTGAATACCCTAAAGAAGATTGGAATAGAATGGAAAGTCTTCAATATGATTTAGAGTATATATGAAAAGCCAGCAGTATATATGAAAAACTTTATACTTAAAGGAGAAAGACTGAGAGCTCTCTCCTTAAAATTGAGAACAAGACAAGGGTGCCTGGTTTCACTATTTTTATTCAATATTGTATTAGAAATCCCAGCCAGTCATAAGACAAGAAAATCAAGTAAAAGATATCCAGATAAGAAAAGAAGTAAAATTCTCTGTTTATGGATGGTGTGATTCTATGTGTAGAAAATCCCAAAGAGTCTCCAAGAAAAATTCTCCACTAACAGAGGAATTTAGCAAAGTTTCAGGGTACAAAGTCAAAAATCAAATACCAATTGGATTTCTATACACCAGAAATGAGAAATCTAAAAGGAAAACTGGGAAAATAATTTCATTTATAATTGCATCTAAAAGAATATAATACATAGGAAAGAAAATAGAATACTTAGGATAAATTTAACCAGGGACATGACACAGTGAAAACTGGAACACTGCTAAAAAGAGATTAAAGAAAACTTAAATAAATGGGAAGATGTTCCATGTCCATGGATTGGAAGACTAATATTATTAAGGTGTCAATATTGTTCACAGTGATCTATACAGGCAACATAATCCCAATTACAATTTAAACAACCTTCTTGACAGGTACCGAAAAACTAATCCTCAACTTTATATGGAAGGATAAGAGGACTGAATAAAGAGAACAAAGTAGGAGGACTTACACATTCTGTTTTTAAAACACACTATGCATTTTAACTGCCACTTGTCTGTCAGATTGATGTATACAGTGGGTTGGGTGTTGCTGCGATGCTGGAAGCTATGCCACCAGTATTTTAAATACCAGTAGAGTCAGCCAAGGTGGGCAGGTTTCAGCAGAGCTTCCAGATGAAGACAGAATATGAAGGAGAGACAGGATACTTCTGAATGTTTAGCCACTGAAGAGCAACAGAACATTGTCAGATATAGTCCCGGAAAATGAAAACATTAATAACTGCAGAATATTGTCAGACATGGTGACAGAAAATGAGCCCCTCAGGTTGGAAGGCACTCAAAATATGATTGGGAAAGAGCTGCCTCCTCAAAGTAGAGTTGACAATAATGACGTGAATGGAGAAAAACTTTCAGTATCTTCTTTTGCTGATGGGACACCCCTCAAAATAAAACCAGCTGTAAACATCCATTAATAATCAGAACATGGAATGCACGTAGAATTAATCTAGGATAATTGGAAGCTGTCAACATGAAATGGAACGCATAAACATCAATATTCTAGGCAATAGTGAGCTGAAATGGACTGGTATTGACCATCTTGAATCTGACAATCATATGGTTTACTATACCGGGAACAACAAATTCAAAAAGAATCGCATTGCATTCATCATCAAAAAGAGTATTTCAAGATCTGTCTGGAAACACAAGGCTGGGCAGTGTTTTTTGTTCTGTTGTGCACGGGATCACTATGAGTCGAAACCAACTTGACAAAACCCAACAACAAATACATTTAAAAATCTATTCTTCTGTCAGTTTGTCATACTGTGATGGCTTGCATGTTGCTGGAAGCTATGTCACCTGTGTTACAAATGCCAGCTGGGCCACCCATGGCAGAGCTTTCAGGCTAGGAACAGAATAGGAAGAAGGAATAAGTGGTCCACTACTAAGGGATTAGCTTCTGAAGACCTTATGAATAGCAGCGGGCCATTGTCTGATATAGTGCCAGAAGATGAGCTATTGGGTGGAAAGGCACTGATGTATGACTGGGGAAGAGCTGCCTCCTCAAAGTGGAGTCGAGCTTAATGATAT